GCCTTCTCAATCCGCCGGACCCCCCACCTGTTGAACGGGGGGTCCGGCGTTCCCAATCCGCCGGCCCCCATTTCCAACCCGCACGGGCTCCGGCGCCCGACCCTCTGTTCGTCTTCCGGACGCAGGACCCTTTGCACGCTCAAAAAGGGGGTCCGGCAGATTGGGAACGCCGGACCCCCTGTTGCTGATCCTCCGGACCCCACCCCTCTCTCAGCAAAGGGGTCCGGCGTTCTCAATCCGCTGGACCGCCCACCTATTGAACGGGGGGTCCTGCGTTCCCAATCCGCCGGAACCCCTTTTCAACCCGCACGGGCTCCGGCGCTGGACCCTCTGTTCGTCTTGTGGACACAGGACCCCCCTGCGCGCTCAAAAAGGGGGTCCGGCGGATTGGGACCGCCGGACCCCCTGTTGCTAATCCGTCGGACCTGGCCCCTCTCTCAGCGAAGGGGGACCCCCTTTGCTGCGTAGAGGGGGACCGGCGGTCTGGTTGGAAACGCTGGCCCCCTGCCCTTGTGAACAAATCTCCGGCATTCCAGATCCGCTGGATCCTTCCACTTGCGGCGCGGAGGGTCCGGTGTTCCACCTCCGCCGGGCCCCTGTTTCGAAAGCGGGGCAGGCGGGTTCCCTCCGCTGACGGACAGGCGTTCGACGTTCTGGGTCTCACGGACCCCCCTGCGTCGGATATGTGAGCCCGCTATTCCAAATGGGGATCTTCTGCGGAAGGGGGGGGGGGGGAAAGGGGAGGGGCGGCGTCCCTTCGCACGTGTCTTCCTGTTTTGGATTCCTCTGTTGTGTCATGGTCTCTTACAGGGCATTTCCATCTGCGTTACCGACTCAATGCCGAGCGGGATGGACAGTTGTTACTACAGTTCTTTGCCATCTGTGCAGTCTCTTCGCACACCCGTGCCCCATGCTGCTGAGACCTCATGTGAGAGCCGGTCTCCAGACGTTGCCATCACACCATCGAAACGTGGCCATCCTGCACACCGTGCTGATGGTATGCCCAGACGTCGCGCACGTCATCTGGCCGTGCCATCTTCCAATATGAACGTCGTGCGACGTCTTCGCCTTGACGACATCATTAACGACGCCGTCGACTTGCCTTCTAATGCCGGCACAGGACCGCCGTACGGGTCTGTTGAACCTTCTATTCGGGTGAATTCATCACCAGCAAGTGACACTGGCGACCGGTGTGCTCCCATGGACATGCTACCGCCGCCGTCATGCGAAGGCAGTGGAGGAGGGGGGGGGCATGTTGCTCGTTTGTCGGACGTTGACTTGCCGGTCGGAGAGGATACCGCTGTATCTGCCTTGTCTGTAATGTGTGGTGGAAACGTAAAGAGAAAATACACGTACAGACTCAGGAAAAGAAGTGCTTCGACTTCCAGTTCCGCTTTCGAACGTAGGTGTAGAGTGGACGAGTGCGAGGCCGTTCTCCACAAAACATGCTGCATGACGTATCAATGTATTTCTAAACTGAGAGTAGAGGATGTGATGAAGTGTAGGCGTGACTACCGCGTTCTCAAAGGGCTGGATAGGYRRAAATGGTGGATGGMRAAACTYCAGAACTTCATTTCGTTAGTTGACCGCAAACCGACAGTCAAACCGATAGTGCAGTTGCACCCTGTGTGTGTCACTGCTTGGTGTCTCATACTGGGCGTTGGCCGGAACACGTTCAAAAGATACAGCGATGACCTCGACGACGGAACAGTCGATGCTTTTCACGGCCATGACGGGCGTCCGCGGACAACAACCACCTACGCCATCACATGGTCGGCGTTCGAGGACATAATTTTGGATGAGTCTGATCTCATGCCAGATCAGACAGAAACGGGCCCAAACTTCGAAATTAGAAATCGCATTCGCCTCCCGTCAGTGTACGCCACGAAGAAAGACGTCTTCCTCCATATTCGTAGACGACTCTCTAAGCTTGGTGTTTGCTGCGCGTCGTACCAGGTCTTCTGCAAGATGTGGAGGGACTTCTTCTGGCACGTTCGACTCGCAAGGGTGACTGACCACGCAAGATGCAATGAGTGCATTAAGAATATCATCCTCATAGAGGGTGCTCTGCCCGAGCCGAGACGGGCGCTTGTCGCAAAACAGAAAAGTCACATTGCACTACAGTCTGCACACCGGAAAAAGTACAGCGTGTGGTCTGCTGAATCGGAACACAGACCGAAACAGAGCCTGTGTATCATCATCGACGGTATGGATCAAGCAAAAACAACGATTCCCCATGTGTCGAGAAGACGTTTGTCTAAAGATATGTCGAATAACACGATGATGAAAACTAATCTCACTGGGATAATCGCGCATGGTAGGACACCGTCGCTCTTTGTCCACATGTGGTTCCCATACTTATCGCACGGCTCGAACTCGGTTGTTAACTCCATTGCCAAAGTGTTGAGAGATGTCCAGGCACGCGAAGGGGTGCTCCCGCCGAAGTTGCGGGTGCAAGCTGACAACTATGGGGGACAAAACAAAAACAAGTATGTGTTCGCATTCATGGCCATGCTTGTCAAATTTCGGATATTTGAGGTCGTCGAAATGGGGTTCATGATAGTGGGTCACACACACACGGACATAGATGCGAA